TATTTCCTATTGCATTATATTATATTATACATTATATAATATTATTTTATTTCATTTTATTTCATCTTATAATCATACCATGTCATATTTCTTAGATTATGTTGTATTACACTATATTAGTGTTATATCACAACTATGTTATATCACATTATAGTATATGATATCGTGTTATATTTCACTGAATTATATTATTTTACATTGTGCTGTCTAATGCCATTGATGTCACAAATGAAGTATCAATTCGACTCAAAGCTGGCTATTTCTCATCTCTCACTGTCGACATGTTTTATTCTGGCGATTCGAACTTTAAAGCCGTCCACTATTCTCTAAATGCCCCAGAAACATTCATTACGAAACGACTGTATATTTCAGTGCACCTTTCATTCGCTTGAATGACTCGTACGGAGAACACCATTACGGGTTGAACACGGGATTTACGTTTGTCCACTTTTCTAGCAGTTCGCATGCACATAGCCCAGCCCAACTTTATTGTATGAACTACCGTTGACTGTCGAGCACGCATTAATTAACTGACGTATTCGTTGTTTTATTCAGCTCACGTCCAAATGAACAGCATTTATCGAGGAAAAACACATACTAGTTTAATTTTAAGTGAACTCCGCTGATCGACATCGGTAGTAAGTCAATTGAACCATTTATTTCTGGGTGCTTGTGCTGTGTGACAAAACTTAGTCAAATATTTGTTTTTCCTCAACTTGGTAATCGTTCCTGCGTGAAACCTATGGATTAAGAAAGCTGTCTTGTTCATCCGCCTGGTTGAGCAGTTTAGTTCGTCTGACGTCTCCACCACGACTGTGTGAAATGCTTTGGGACTAGAGAAAAACCATGGATTGGAACACTACTAGATACACTCTGGACCGTCGTTCGAGGCATTTATTTTGCAAACAAGTCACTGTAATTGTTCAACAGCCCTTATCTACTGAATACTATATTCAGCATGCCACACCTACTCTAAATCTAAAACCATTTTGAACTACAAAAGAAGAATAATCTATGTGGCATCTTTTCATTAGCTTGGGAAAGGCAAGTGATCGGGTTGCGCTCTGCCGTTTTTGTTCAACCAGACAGCCTCTTTTGCACACCCGACCTGTGTATGACGTCTATCCAATAGGTTGACTTTGCGTATTTCAATCAAATGATAAATGGAATCTTATTCAGCTTACTTGTGAGTCTGTCAAAAGTTGTCTACGGAAAAAGAACATTTTTTGCGGTATTTTCTGACAGCTCTGCGCCCTCTTCGGAAAACCTCATTTTTGCAGACTTTTTAGTCAATTCGTTTCCGTCCACGAATTTTCTAGCTTTGGGCGAAACTCTGCTCATGACGTAGGCTTAACACAAAGGTGGAGTCAAGCTAACCAGGTCACGGACTCGGAGGCCTGAATACGACGCCAAGGAATCGAGATGAAGGATAAACCTACGGGCTGTAATTAACAGTGCAAGGAGAATGACAAACCGTTTTGACTTCACTAGTTAATGAAGCAAGCAACCAAGAACCGAAAATAGTGCGAAGTCACGTCAACAGACTAAATCAATCGAAAGTGCATGAAACCGCGAAAAACTGTGCGATTGTACGAATAAAACAGAATCTTCCCAAAACACCCCGTCAATACTAGGGCGTCAGGATGTTGCGTCATTGATCAGTGCGTTTTATGCAGTACGCGGCGCAGTTCGCCGAGGTCCGTAGACGGAAGATAAGCATAACGTGTTTGAACTACAAAGAATGGGGAGCCTAAACGATTAAAATATTGAACTGACGATTTCTGTGGGAATTTTACCCCTTTTAAGTGAAACCTAGTAATCATAAAAGCTGGTATTTAGTAAAACACGTTCTGAGGCGAGCGGGAAGAGTTTCCAATAGCACGATTGCTTTTTTTCGAATAAACATTACCTCCTCTTGTCATGGAACTTCAGTTATCCGTGTGTGGCGCAATACGCGGTCATTTTTATTATTTGTCGATGCTTCTGGAAGCATTTTGTTGTTTTCTCAGAGTGCGTTGTTTACTTTCTGACTTATAAGATAGAGGCAAAGTGACACTGAAATAATTGTATAAAGTGCTGTAGGACGAATATGTGTGGAACTTCCCTTATGTGGCATCAAAATGGAATGCCGCGCTGTACTTTACGTCAATCCAGTTGTCACTATTTGAGCCAGTCCGGGCTGCATGCAGAACTTTATGCCTGAACGTTGCTCTCAGCTAATCGCTGCGTAATTTTCTGAATTGAACTACTTTTTCAGTGATTTTCTGCATCCGATGACCTCCTAGTTCTGTGCGATTTTCGTCAATGTCAACTCCCGGAATAGCATTAGTTTTCCAAAGAGCATGAGTCGTGAATTTCGATGAATTTTTTCATACCTTTGAGCATCACATTGAACGCAAAATTTTACACATGCTGTTCTGTACATCGGATAGATATGCTGCAAATTCGATGAGAGTAATTCGTGGCTAAAAATACCCGAAATGTGTCTTTTCCACATAAATGAATAATGTCACTCCAGATGGCCTAAGTTCACGTGGGGACCAAGACAGTAATTCGGAAATGAAAGACCAAATGCTTTGCGCGTAATTTCCAAGGTAAAATACAGGTTTTTCGACAAATACACTCATTCGCAAGTCAGTTTGGTTGTTCACAAGTCTCTCGTGAAGACCAAATCGATTTGTAAATGAGTGTATTTCTCTAAAACCAGTCCAATTTGGGTTCAAGTGGAACATAAGTTTGTCGAAAACTCGAGGACTGTGCCTACCCTAAGAAGGGCGAAACCGGTCGTGGGCTGTCGGAGAGTTTCCAGCAACCTTGTGAGTAGTTCCCCCACAGGCATTCTAAGTTCGCAGATCCTCTTGATGGACACACAAAGGACATGCACGTATTACACGCAAACAAGTAGGTACTTCGCCAAATACACTCATTTGCATACCGATTTGGTTTTGACTGGAGCCTCACCTGGAACCCAGCGGGAACTCTGATGTTCTTCAAACAAGTGTCTGTGCCGTTCAGCTGTAACACCTTTTCGGTGCTCAATTGCGATGCCATCTGAAGGAAGCACAAGCGCTGGGGTACTACAAGGTTGCCCAAGACTAGACAGGCGAATTCAAATGAACCACGGACCGTCTGGTCAGTAAATTGAGCCATCGTGCCCCCAATAAAATGGTTAATGAGGTATAATGGTAAAATAAGCGAACCGATGCACCCAGACTTTCCGGCTGTGAGACCGCCTTCCAGAGGAATTCCGGTGGTTCGAAACCTAAAGTGAATGCAAATCGTGCATCGTTTTCTGTTATTTTTAGTGCGGCTTTGCCTGTCGGTGAAATCACGTTTGATAATAGAGGTCGTGGTAAGTTATTGGTGGGCCAGGTAAATTAGAGCTGGTCTAGCAAAAATAGTGCTCCCACGTGAGGGAGAAAATACAACTTAGTCCATTTGAGTAAGAGGTGTGCCAACTTATTTGGCAGATCTGCTAGTTAGCGGTGTCCAGCTGTGTGAGGGACCCCCTGCTCTCATCCGCGTCACAGTGTCCCTCCAGTCTATAATTCTCAGTGCGGTGATTCAACACTTCGCCGGCGTAAATGGGTACAAGTCCACAGGTCCTGGATGGAAACGCCAAGGAGATAACCAGTTCTTCTTGGTCTTCTCTGGGTCTTCTTACATTATGACATAACGTTTTTCAAAGAAGCTGTTCATTAACCTGCTAGCAAAAAATACTTTCTGCAGAATTCCTTAAAGACGAGTTTGCTCATTGAGAGACTGATCAACTCTGTTCAGGTCCTCTCATTGATCCGATCGTATTGAAAACATGCGCAACGCTCAGGGCTTCGGCTCATGACACTTCAGGATCATAACTGACAAGTTTTCATGGTGCGTTGCTCTCAAAGATAAGTCATCTTCATGACAAGAACAGCATAGTGATTTAGGTCTACCAGCTGACGAATTATGTTTGTCTGTGAGGGATTAGGAATCTAAACGTCCCTGCAGATATGCCTGACTAGGCAATGCATGTCGTTAAACCAGACGAAAAAACACGCCTCCAGTCGTATTCTCTGATAAGCATGAAGAGAAAGTAGGATAAGTGGAGATGGCAACACGGTATGTCTTATTTTCGGTGCCATTTCTTCTGCCCATCTGATGCTTAGGTGCCAGACTGTGATACACGCACACACAGATAAACGCGCTCACAATATGAGAGGCCCAATTGTCGGCAAAGGCTACCCGGAAAGTAACAACAGCTGTCAAAGTAAAAAAAACAGGAATCATTAATAAGGTTTCGCAAACCCTCAGGGTAATCCACACACACACGCCAGGAATTCTGACCAGTTTCCAAAACGAGGCAGTACGGTCAACTCTACTGACTCTGCGACCTCAGAAGTGGAACTTTCGATTAGATGGCCCAGAAATCTGTAGGCTGACTGCCAGAGTTACTTATTAGAACATTCCAATTAACCGGTTACAGACCATTGGATAGGGAAGCAAAACTCTCATTAGCATCTTATTTACAAAAACTGGACATCCACCTTCCCATGAACGCGTCACCTTAAACTTCCCTAGATGTTCGTTGACTCCAATCATTCCTCGCTCAAATTCAAGCAAATTTTACAAAGCGACTCCACAAATTCCGCAACAGAGCTTCCCTTTTCAAGAGACGCAAAGCGAAATTCCACGAACAACACATACTACTCGCAGACCTCCCCATCAGTAGCATCACCCCTACACCGGTGCTACCGCTGAAATTGTCACTTGCCTCTTCGTCAATAGCCTTAGGAACGCAGTGTAGCTAACAAAGGTCTTTGCAATTCTCAAGCCCACATAAGAGAGTTCCACAACCACAGACAAAAACGAGTTGTATTAATCGTTCATCGGTGGGTCCCCTTCAACGCGAATTCGGTGTTCAAATGCTGTCAGTCTAGAATAGGTTATTTCTTATACCAACCGGGTAAAAACGCGGGACAAAGGAAAGAATTTACTGGGGGAGCAAATTTTCACTTAGAATGTTCCATGGACCTCCGACGAAATGGAGGAGGTCTGGTGATTCCGAATGGTGAAGTCACTATGAACGTGGTTGTAATGTATCCCATATGTCACTCGTATAATGTAAGAACGATTATTAATCAGTAAACTACATAGTGTTTTGAAACAAACAGGTTATTATAGCTCTGATACTTGGAACAGCAAAGAACACTTGCAAAAAAAGAAAAACTATTGCTTGAAAGCTACTCCTGCTGCGCTGCATGTAAACTATTCGACTTCAGATTCTAGCGCTGGCTGTTCTTACGTTGCAGGTCGGGTGGCATCTTCAAAACCTGGTATGGCAGAGGAAACTGCCCGAAATTCACTCCGCAATGAGAGTGGTTGCTTTTTGCAGGAGAGTCTTTTGCCGTCTAGCGTGCTTTTGAAAAGCTCTCCAGTAAACAATATGGGGTAACCTCAAAGACGAGTTTAGTACGCATGTTGATATGAAAATTGGCAAAAAAAGTGTGACCTTCTATTTTATACCCTTCTGAATCTGAAATTAATCTGGCTGGATTTGGCTGGTTGATAATACCGGAAGTGCGATCTCAGGCCANAAAAGTGTGACCTTCTATTTTATACCCTTCTGAATCTGAAATTAATCTGGCTGGATTCGAATCGCTGATAATACCGGAAGTGCGACTCTCAGGCCAATCGGCACCGTTTTTAAACAGGTAGTTTCTTGACGCGATGAACAATAACAGTCAACATTGTGACAGTGTTACACGCCAAACTAATTTCTCGGAGCGGAATGGATTAGGAAACTTCATTTTTCCCAATAAATCTCGAAAGCCATATCTCACACCGGCTGATGGAAGCAAAACTCGCTTCAATCTGATTGTTCCGTGTCTAATTCTACGCACTTACCATTCACATCGACCTGCGCAATCATGTGTTTCAATTCCACCTGAGAGACTTCGTGTCCCAGATAGGCCAATGCTGTTTCCAGTTCATCGCAAGAAATCGAACCATCTCCGTTTTTGTCAAAGAAGTGGAACGTCCAGCGAATGTCTGCAAACGTGTAAAATATGCGTAAGTGACTGCGCTCAACTGCGAGGTTGTCGGAGTGTTTGACGTCACGTGAGTGAGTACGATAAACATTCTGGCCTAAAAATATAACGTGGCGTGTTAAACATGGGTTGCGGATATTTGGATTTTTATAACGTTTCTTGCATCCTGCTTATTGCGTGCGTAAAAATGTTGACCGTTCACTAGACATACGAACTACTCAGAATGAATGCTCACATTAGTTTGTTTGATATTTTAACATTTTCCATTTCATTTTTGTATGTCCTTTCATGTAACGACTACCTCCTCATAACAGACGTTTAGAAATTCGCTGCGTTCTGTTTGCTAGCGCACGCATTAAGCACCCGTAAAGAACAACTGAATAAAAGGATAATTTTACGCTCATTGTAAATCATTTTGACCACAAACCAATCGCGCGGCTCATCAGTAGTACAAGTCAGTAATCTTCATCTACTCATCCCGTTGATGTTTCAAACGAAACTGACTTTTTGTTGCCTTCAGTTTTTGCAGAATGGACACAGTATACATACTTTTCTGAAATCGTACATTTATTCCATCCCAGTGAATGGTAAACGACTTCAGAATGCATCTAGTTAGCTAACCGTTTGAAGTAACCTCGCTTAATATGGGCCGGCTCTCAAGAACAGACCTTCAGCGTGCCATTTACTGCTGTGTTGGGGAACGCAAGTTGTTTTGACCTTGGAATCACCCGGTGAATTGACTACTCACTTGACGACCTTTTCCCTTCTGGCCGAATCCCTGAAAGCCTAATTCAGACGATCAGTACACCTGAGTTGATTTTAGTAGTCACTGATATAAACGCTTACTTGAACACTCGTGAACCATCGTATTTCACTACGCATCTCGAAAAACGCGTCATTCAGGGGAGGCAACGTTGTTCCACAACTTGGGGTACCCGTAATCAACTGATGAATGACCAGGAGCGACAGTTTATGTCACCGGACCAGTACACATAAAAGATCAGACTGTTCGAATACTCAGTTCATAAGAAGATCTTAGCATTACGCAAAAAAACGGTTATTTTCGTTTTTCCGAAAAAGGGTACACCATGATCTCCCCAGGCCATAGCTTGTATGCAGAAACGCATCGGTTAAACGATTTGGAACAAAGTGAACCCATTGAATAGGGGGGCCAGTCGAGAAGAAGAATCCACGAACTAGCGAGCAAAAGTACCCAGATACCATGGATGTTCTGCGCGTAGAAAAAAAATTATCAGTTCTTAAGCGGCACCGTTGTATCGGATCCCGAATATTGCATTTCCCTATTTTATTATGCAGGTGAACATGGTTCTTTGAATATTTTTCGCAAAATCTGGTAGAAAAATAAACAGGTACAAGCTATGTGGCGCAGCATAAGTAGTGTCAACTGACCACAGTGGATTCGCTCCTGCAATATACCTCCCAGTAGATGCTGCCACTTAATGTAGGTTCCGTCTCCTGCGAAACGGCAATACAGCTTCAAAGGAATCGTGCCAAAAGGGGTAAACCGTCTGCCCTATTACACCTCTCAAATGTATACTGATGTTTCTTCCTTGGAACTGTACCATTTAGACTACACGAAAAGATGCCATTCTGATTCACAAAGCTGTCTAAGATGTTTGGCCGGCTATTTGAGCATTTTGCCTATTTTTTGTAATTCTTTTTTCCATCCATCATTTCCACTGCACTTCAGCCGACTTACAAAAAGGCAGTCCCGCAGCTCCGATTGAATATGCTCTCTGGACCTGAAAAGAAAATTTTCTGGTATACACTTTGTTCTAGTGATGATTATTTTTCCTTGACAAAGTTATTTCTCATGGCTGTCGTGTCTCTTGATTTATTCTGATTAAAATGACCGCCATTTCCGATCGATTCAAGTGAATTGCGTTACTTGTTATCGCGCGCGTTGGCGCTAGTCTGTTTGCTGACACCGACGAAGAAACTGGGAACATTGCGTTGGATTTGGAGCCAAATTAATTGAATGACTTGATTATAATCAACATATTCTGTAAATCTCTTCCTAGAATTATGGAAGGCGCTTGAATTCCAACCAGTTTCATGCAAAATAGTCATTTAATGAACTCGTAAATAAAGAATTTAGCCCCTCTTCCAAACCAAATTCTTGTACGAATAATAGAATTTGTCGAGGAGCCTACACTGTTTAATTGACATCTGCGGTAAAGACTATCCGCTCCAGTGAGGATTTTTGATACCGTCAAACAAACTCACGCTTCTTTGATTAGTTATTATTTTCGCAGATGTGCAAACCCTTGAGAATCTTCTTTAGTTAGCGAAGCATGGCTCGTCCACATCTAATGAAACGTTTGTAAAATGTTGTCCCAACTTTTTGGCGAATGCACCCTCACAAGAAATGTCTTATTCTTCAACACAGTTCTTTGTCAAAACTCCAGAAACCATTTCAGAAGAACAAGTGTTTACTTGAAACAAACAGGTTGAAAAACTTCTTAATTTTGCCATATATGTCACGTGAGCTGGAAAACCAGTTGCAGTCCGTTACTCAAAGTCAGACAGACCAAAAGATGGCGAATTTTGCCGAACCGAGCCACATTAAAGCTCACTCCATAAAAATACCTTTGAAGTGTGCAATTATGGCCTCCAGGGCAGATGGAAGACAAAAAATTGTCTAATTATTTTGCCGCCATGGAGGCAACTGATGGAGTGGTTCTAGAACTGGTATAATCAAATGATGAGCTTCTGTGTAGTTTTTCGGCTAGTAAAAACGACACTCAAGCCAACTAAGTATTCAGGCGATTAGTGCATGTTTTTTGTTTAAAACGCACGCCGACACATACAAACAATTGGGTGGAATCGCGATGAGTAGAAGAACAGCAGCTGGTGGCGATCCCACGATAGGTTCAAAGCAGAAAATTTCAGCGAAATACACTCAGTTGCGAACAAATTTGGTTTTGCGAGAGGCTCATCTGAAATTCAGCTGAATCTCTCGTTTATGATCATTGTTACACCAGATAGGTCGTCCTCCTAAATTACGCAAACCTTAAAACACCTCAAAACATGTTCCGCATAGACGTAATACACTACTCATAAGGCGCTTGAAAGCCCTTTTAGACCCATGATTAGTTTCGCCGTTATTGAGGCTAATCAGTGAGTTGCAGTCCCCAGTTACCTGAACCCAAATTACACAAATTTGGTCAAATATACTCATTTGCACACCAGTTTGGTTTCAAGTAGAACATAAAATTGACGGAAACTCTGGGACTGCGCCTACCTGATGAGCCCAAGGAAGGTGATAGCGGTCGTGTGCTGTCGAGTGGACAAATTTTCTTGACTGTTGATCAGACGGCAGTTAGCTGGCCAAAAAACACACCTAAGCTTTAACGTTTTAGACACATTACCAGGCACCGTTCCTTTCACTTGGAGAAACGCAAGATATTGACAGATTCAATCAGCTTCCCTTATTCGGTTACCCAAATAGTATGTCAGCAAAGTCACTGAATTTGAATTTATCGACTTATTCCATCAGCTGATCGCAATATTTTTCAAGGTCGTAGCAAACTAGTTCACAATTTGGCGGCCTGGGCAAAACACTAAAGGACATCTTGGTTAGTGACATCGGATTCAGTAAATAGATGAAGTATTGACATGATTTAAGGTGGTATCTTAAACTTCGAAGTGACAAAATAAGATATTTCCTTTGTTTAAATGATCTCAGCATCTTAGCCGTTTGCGCAGCTCTGGTTTCAAACGTTTCACTACAACGCCTGGAGTTGTAGCGACTCGGAACAAGAAGTTCAGCAGCTGGACTGCTGAGATCTTCATTGTACATTTAATTGGTGCGCCTGGAGCGTTTACAAGAAACATTTTGTGCAGACACTCTGGTATACGTGCGGGTGAATAGGATTTGAACTGACGGACTGGCTCAACCGTGAGTTAGTTATTCATGAACCGGGCAACCTCATCGACATGTTACAGTTTCTGTGCCAAGTTAAGCAACCAGAAACGTTTTGCCCAGGGTAAAATTGGGTTCCAAGTAGACAGACAGAATAGGGTGAGAAGATTGGGAAAACGCTTGCGGCCGTCATTCTGCAGCAAAAACTGTCTCAATTTACTAACGCGCTTTTCGTGAGGAGTGTAAACATGATTCGAACCATAATAGGTTCTTTGCTCATTTCTAACAACTTTTTCGCGCAGTTCTTTAGCAAAATGAAGCGTTTTTCCTCCGGAAAAATTTCACCAATTCCACGTTAACGGTGTTACTTAACCTTCTTAAATGCTATCACTGAAGAAGCGGATGAGGTTTATAAAAATGCATTTATTTATCACTGTTTTTTTTAAAAAAACAGACGTAAAACGAAATGGGTGTACTAATTTTCATAAGGTTGCTGAAAACTCTTCGACAGCCCACAACCGGTTTCGCTGTTCTTGGGGCTCATCAGATCGGGGCAATCCCCGAGTTTCCGTCAACCTTATGTACTAATTGTTTGAAAATCATGTGTCTGTTGAATGACCGGGCAAACTTTATTTTGGAATTTATCAAATATTTAGAAATCCTGAGAAAATAAACACTCCCAGCTGCTAGCTCTTCATGAAAAAGGCTTTGTCACATCCCAGGGTTCCATACAAAACAAAAGTTTCTTGAGTACAGCAAAAACCAACTACCGTGACCCCTTTATTTTAATTCGGCCCTCGCCGTCACTCCAAAGGATGTGAGAAAAGCTCTTTGACCTCGTTAGGGCTTAGCCTGGCTTCATAAAGTCCACAGTAAAGTTTCACCGACGATAAACGTCCTCCTGGCATGAGCACTCTGTCTTCTGGGACGTCACTGTTGGGAGGTCAAACATAACTTCTGGTTATTCAGGTTAAAATAGCTAAAAATATCATGACCAATTATTTGGATCTACCGAAGCCGGATAATAATTTCGCACTTGAATTGCCACAAGTTTCAATCAACGTTTCAATGATTTGATGAAAGTTCTAATGAGTAACCCACCTGCCAATTGTTCCTTGGTCAATATTCCTTTTTGTATGAGTTCGTACGCATACGCTTCGTTTTGGTCTGCATTCTCCATTGACTGAAGTGTTGATGCGATTACCATCTAAGCAGCTGAGAGGTGACACATCACATAGTCGAAAAAACACTTCAGTTGCCAACGAGATATATGTATGTAAAAATATTTATATACGGAATCTCTCGTGCGTCCGTTTGTGCGCTAAATTTTGATTGGTCAGCAGACTCGTTTTTTACTGGTGGACAATAATTCTCAGACAACTTGCTTGTTCGTTTGGTTTGAATATGGCCATTTTGGCAACTACATCTTAAGGTTCAGAGCTTTTCTGATACTAACGGAAAACGTTGCAGTCTGTTTGATTTCTGAGGGGAATTTTATCGTTTCTCAGCAGGTTTTGAGTCTAAATGTTGACATTTGAATCGAGCTTAATATTTGTTAATCAAGTAATAAACAGGAGAATTAATTTGCATAATAATATAATGTAAAATAATATAAGTAGGAGTTTTTAGAATAACACTTTGATTTTTGTACAACTTTCACCATTATGATCGGAATGTTTCATCAGCTTTTTCTTCACTGCCTGAGATAACCTAGGCAAACTACATCCAGGAATATGCTTCGACTAAAGCATTTCGATTCTCCAGTTTTAGAAGGAGGAAAACGGGTCATTCTACGGCTGTGTAAGCAACTATTGTGGCATCAGAAAAAAGAGACACTTTTCCCACAAGTTAAACATATCGGCCAAAGCAGTTGAGAATACTGCCGATGGAGTAAAAGGAAAGGATGCTGCTCTGTTACTACCAAATTTTGAACATCACTCTGCTAAATTCGTACCAATATGAGGCTGCCCAACTAGGCTTATCCCGAGATACCGCAAGCAGAAAGATACAATCTGTACTGAAAAGCCGAGAAGAACTGCACAGCTGTTTCATCCGTTTCGGGAATCATCAGCTGTGCGCATCTCAGGAAACTCCGGAGAGTCTGGAACCCACGGCCTCCTGGCAAGTAGGTTGAACACAACCGTTTCACCACGGAGGGCTGATCAGTAGAGTGAATAATTCGCACTCAGACAAGATATAGCGCAGCTCATCCTTCAGTCACAGGCTCTACATCAAGCGGTCACACGTGTTGGCTGGCTCCCCGTGCGAGTCAATCACACCGCCGACCAGCCACTCGTGGCCGCACGGTTGAATGTTCAAACAGCTAACAAGGAGGGTGCCGGTTCGAGACTCTCCGGAGTTTCGTCAGATGCACACTGCGGATGATCCCCAATAAGGATTAAACAGCTGTATAGTGCTTCCCGGCTGTTCAGCGTAACTTGGCTTAACTCACAGGACAAACTCTCCACAAAAAACCCCAAATCTCCTCACAACACCAACGAAGAACTACACAAGTTATAGATGCTCCATTTCCCGGTCTGTGGAAGCTGGAATTATCACGTCAAGTTGTCATCGTACTAAGTTGTTTTCTTGTATCGAACTAGAATTTCGATCAATCGTACTGTCACTTGTTTTTTCGTCTTGTTCTTTGATAACTCAGCCAATTTTCTCTAAGTTTTTGTCCAAAATGATCACCTCGCAACTTGATTTTTTTAGGACTTCTCTATGAGTCCAAGTTATTTTCAGTACAAAACGTTCTTCACTAAATTAGCTAATCGCTCAGCGTAGTTTGTAAAGGTTCGAAAAAAATCTGATCTGAGGAGAAAATACTTTGGCGCCTAAATCGAAACAATGATTCAATTATTACTTGAGAAACGTTCTGCAGAGTGAACCAATCAATGGCGTGGTGTTACTGGGAGACTCCACAATCAAACAGTATCTAGAATATCGACAGGCTCGTCTTGCAGTTATTGTTGGCCGTAACTGAGATTCCGAAATGATGTGCTGGCACACAAATCGCTATCCACGTATGATGGAGATATCTTTTGCTTTTCTTATCAAATTTTGTTTTCCTCCCCGAGAGTTTTTAGTTATTTTCGAAGTAAACCTTTTGTCTTGCACCATCATCATAGTTCTTGAAGTGTTGTACTTCCAGGGACACCGTGAGTCAATTCAGAGGCCTTTCAGGCCTAGTTTTTCAGCACCGTTTCAGTCACTCTATGGAAGTGATCTTGCCGTCAGAAAGAAGAAACACGACTCTTGGCTGTTCGAAATCGTCAATATACAGGCAGTGCCATTACTTCGGTATTTCTACGACTTTCGCATCAAAATGCTTAGCCAAAATTTGGTTCCAATCCAATGTTCCTTGACCAAATAGGTCTGATCATCAAGGTCGTCACCTAAAAAGAGTATGGGTGTGGCATTCAAATTATTGTTTAAAACAACAAAAAGAATTTCCCAGTTTGAACCAACAAGTATAAATGGTCTTTGTTGATACATCCGTGAAGCTAACTATGACCAGCTTCCGGCAAATGTGAATCACTGTCGTGATAACCTGAGGTCGGTAGAATCCAAGGAAAGGTGTTTCGTAAGGAACCAAAGACTAACCAAAGTTTTACGGGCAGTACTAACGACACAGTCACAATATGCAGTCCACTTGACGATAGAATCTTGCGTATGCCATGTCACGAAAATTGACGATTTAATTTTAGTAGACTACTTCATTATTTTTCTTTGTTACCTGCCGGTAAACCGATTTCCCGCGCGTAGCTCTCCATCATTCATCAAAAGTGAGAGCAAATGTGGCATAAAGTATACTCACACACACTGTTTTTCTTGCCGATTACTGCTAGAGTATGACGTCATTGGAACGCATTTTCAAAGCAATTTTTCGTTTTCACTGATAGTATTTTGTATCGGGCGTGCATTTGACAAATTGACGGAGGTGATATCCCAATATAATCAAACCACCATCTGGAAAAAAGCAGTGGGGTTAGAGCACACCCAGCAAAAACAGCTCTCAGCAGACGGCTGAGCTGCACTAGTAAGAGCTGAAATATATTTGAGACCTACGGGATCACCCTCTTCAGCTGGGAAGTAAATGCCCTTCGTCAGAATCACACAACTTCCCTCGCTGGACACGCAGTCGTTTGATCTGGGATCCTGACGTTTCCCCGCTGTGAATATTGAAGAGTACTCATTGAAAGCTCACTCCAAAACACCAACTTTTCATGTTTGTGGTATGGCGGCAAAACAGGGATTTAAAAAGCCAATGGGTGACCTGTGCCGTCAAGTTTTTTGTTCACTCTTTTTGCACTGTTCACTGTCTGTTTCGAAGGCTATCAGCATGTCGATGCTGACGCCGCTGTCTAGAAGGAATCAAGAATATCCGAAAATTAACCTGGACCGTCAAAGTCACTGTTTTGACTGTTTAAAAATTATATGAGCACAGGAAGAAGGAAGGAATTTTACCCACTCGGTCTCGCACTGATGATGTCAACTTGATTGATGCTTGCAAACTAACGGCCAAGCTCTGCGAACAGACCGACAACCTAACAAGAGCGAGAGGTAAAACGTAATTTCATAGAAACGTAGACCAGATGCCTTTTTCATCAACATTTTGTGCAGGAACGGAACGAACTTTGACATTTTTCACTTGCCGTCTATTTGTACATGCCGCGCTGTTCCTCACAACATGACGCAATCGGTAAGGTCGATATGTTCCCTTCTAGCGGCATAGCGTACGAGACAACAAGGCGTCAAGTTGAGTTTCAACTGATAAAGAGTGGCTAAATTGTAAACCTATTGTCAGCTGACGAGAAGAGGCACCCGAGGATTTGTGGAAAGCGGTGATATCGAGGGCACGGATTCGATCAGCCCTGAGGCCTGAGCAGTTAGCAGCCAGCTATCGGTCTTCTCACTTGAAGTCAACTGGATGTTTACTGCGAAGATGCGGGTGGTTTCTAGAGTGTTCCACTGCCCAAAACCAAGATCAACCCTAAGTTGGTGAATTTCAGCAGGTGAACAATGCCTTTTTCTAACATACGGTCATATCCTCACTGAAAATACGCGAAATATCACTGACTCAGTAGGTGCAGAAGGATTTCGATGCATCGAATACCTTCAAGACTCGATTTCATGTTAACAGTCTGGAGACGTCCGGGTCACGTAACGAAACGTTATCAAGAACCGTGCGTTTCTTTTGAATACTTCTACCGAAACAAGCCCACCAATCCTAAGAAAATTTACCGGCAGTGAGTATAGTGTTGGTGAAGCTATCAAGGTCATTGTATAGCCTGTACTTTAAAGGGCACAAAGTACTCGAGTCTGACGTAAATTGTCAAAGTCAACCTGCCAGATACGTATTACACACAACACACTGCTGGCAGAAAAATTATTTTTATGAATAAAACGACAGAAGACCAATTTGTGTCCGATATCACTGTTGAACCGTTAGCTGAGAGTTCGAAACTCCCTGGTGTTTTGCGAGATGGACAGTGCTGGTAACTCTCAATTAGAATAAATTGGTCTGTACAGTGCTTCTCGGCTTTTCGACAGAGAATGACTTTGATTACAGGACAAACACTCCATTAGATTCGTCTGAAAAGAACTTCAGGGGGGAGGCTACATCCTCTCATCAGCACCACAGCGATAGGCTTCCTTCCGCGTACTGTCTCCTAAATCCTGACCAAGTCAAAACTGTTGATAAATTCTTTGCGGGTTGGCCGAATTTACCTCTGCATTGCTCATGTCTGACATCATTAGTCAATAAAATGTCAACATTCAGGGGATTCTCAGTCGATGAGTGTTGCACGCTTCAGCCTAGGTTGCGTAGAACAAGGGTAATAACGATTGGGCACGTGGATAGATTGCCCAATGTGCAGCTGACCCTGATCTGTTTCACACCAATGCAGACTATAGGATATAATCCAACGTTTCTTTAATCTAGATTTCGAGAAATTTCGGTTCAAGCGATGAAGTTTCCATGGTTTTTGTTTGATTGCGAACGCTTCAAAATCAATTATGGTTACATTCTCAGTGGAGTGGTAGATCGGTTGTTGTTCACTGTGATTCGATATACGTCGTGCTAGCTGGTGCCAACCTTTACTCATGATTGGTTGCTCGACTGGACGGTTTCATTGGTTAATATGTTAACCTGTGCCCTGATTGGCCGATAAATACGTGACCTCTGAACTTGCTTTTCCCCAC